AAGTTTATAAATTACGACTTGTAAAATAACAAATGCAAGACACTTGAAGATAATTGAATGATTAAATTTATATTTATTAAACTCAATCGGTCTATTATCTTAATACATCGATTGATATCAAGTCATATATATAATAATCAGATTTATATTTTAGAAAAGATTTGCTTGCCGATGATATATTAGGTTGGTGCAAAATTAATATCGGTTTTTATTGTTTTAAATTTTGGCGCTTTATTGTACATAACGTTACATTCAACATTATGTTCATGTTGTACCATTTTTAAGCGCAGATTCGTCTGTGTTCGTTGTGCTCATAATTTTATGTGCACTTACGCTTATAAGCGCTATTTTTAATCATTTATTTTTATTTCTCGCGCGATGTAAACGCTCTTGTGACATGAGTCGTTCACGTTTTGCTTTATAAGCAATTATAAATATAATAATAATAGATAAAAAAAATTTATTTTGATATTATTTGGACAAGTGTCAACTCTTCTGTCAATGGTCGATAACGAACAGGATTATGAGAGAGAGATCCTCATAGTGAAAATACCAAAATGTGCATATTATATAAACACGTTTACTAGCGTTTTTTATTCTTAGGTTATACCACGCATTCATTGCGTTTACTTTTGGCCATAAATGCTCACGCTTTTGCTGCCTTACCCTATTGGATGAAGGGTTTGCGAGCAGTATCTATGATACGTCATAAATGTTTCTGTGGCCTTTCTTTAAGCACTTACGATCGAAAAAATGAACGGTGCTTATTAGTGCTTAAAACTCGTAAACGTAAAAAGTAAACGCACCCAAAAGCTGCACAATCTGTACTTACGAAATAATAGTCCACAGACTAATAGTTTGCACGAAGAAACAACGTGGAGTTCTTAAAATTGGACTTAAACGTCTAATTAGTCTAATTAAAACGTTATCGTTGTATGAAATTTTATGTGCATGTTGTGTGTGAGATATTGATGTAGTAGTATGTAGTGATGTGTCAATGATACGTAAATCGTCTGTGTTATTTATAATATGAAAAAAGTGTTATTTATAATATGACTAATCGTCTTTAAGATCACCTTAATATTTAATACCTCATTGATGATGTAAGTAATACCGATAACCAATTGAGCTTACTTTATCTATACGTTTAATACGTGCATATATATGACCCAGGCCAACTACCGTAGGTATAAAATCTAACATCAGATCGATTATAAAGTCCGTGGTGATGTTAGTTGTACTAAAGGTCAGCAGCTGGAGAAACATATGTTATTAACCTTTGATAAGAACAGAAGATAAACATTCTCAAAAGATATATCTTTGATTAACATTTGAAGTAGAATTATACGGTTCATCTCAAGAATGTTCTAAAATTTTAAATAGTTTTATATTTTATATAAACGTATAGAAAGTTATCTGCATTTTATTTTATTTAGGATTGTTTTTAAACGAATATAATTTTAATTGTTAATTAATATACGTATGATTTAAATAGAAATAATACCCACATAACACAGTTCCCTGAAGGACACTTTGGATATCCATTAAATAACTGTGTTACGAGGAGCTAATATCGAAATTATAACATTCCTTTAATTATCTAGTTCCTAAATTCTAACGTTTAATCGAAAAAAATTTCTTCTAAATTATTTAATAAGAGAAAATTGTTTTCTAATATCACATGATTATACCTGAAAAATTGTAGCCGACAGCAATACAATAATATTACTAGCTCTCATTAAATAAGTACTCCACTTGCTTTGAAAGGGCCATAGTCCAATAAACGATAGGACAAGTCGATTTATTTTGTAGTAATGCTCGGGATATTCCATTTGCTTTGTAAGTCTCCAATAAATCGTAGGAGCAAGTGCTCGTTGCTTATTATTTTATTGCTATATTTATCTATTTATTTTTCTTAAAGTTTATTCTATTTTTTATTTCTAATTTTTTAATTTTCATTATCGGATAAATTGCAATGTTTTAAATAATACATGTTTCGTCGCTTTGAATCTAGAATCGATCCAACAACACTTGATGAATATAATCGTTAATATTTAAATTTGAATATTGTTTATTACCCAAGTTATTGCATAAAATGTAAATGGCAATTCATTTTTTCCTCTAATAAACATCTGTCTATATTTCTGTATATTTACTTACAACATTTGTTGGAAATTCTTCTTTTGGAATACTTGTAATTAAATAAAATACTTGTATTTTCTAAACAGATTACCGTTAAAATTGAAAATTGTTTCTAATGTAACTCGATGGCTTAATCGTCTTTCGTCATGTACTGTGTGAAATAGACTACTCGAATAATCTGTTTTACCTCGAACTTTTTTCATTCATCGTTCGTTCCCTTTGCCTCTAAATAATAGAAAAATAATTGCGATACCGTCACGGTGGAATAATCACACATGCGAGAGAAACTAACACGGCAGATGGAAAATTGCCTGAAGACAATTTTTGTTCGCAGACCACCGGTTATTTCCCACATTATTACCGAACATTGTATGCACGCTGTGGATCAATCCCCTCGACGCTTTTGAAAAATTCGTACCTCTGTGCTAAATGCATGCATTTTTCATTCATGTAATTCACCCGGTAGTAAAATTTAAAAAAAATAGAGATGAAAAAACATTGTACGCGTGCTGTCGATCGATCCCCTCGACGCTTCTAAAAAAATTCGTGCTTCCGTGTGCTAAACGCATGCATTTTTCTTCCATGTAATTCACTAATAACAAAAATTTTTTAAATTAGAGATGAAAAAATCGTGTAGACCCTATGAACACTTTTTCTTCAGATCTACGCAATTTTTCCATCTCTAATTTTTTTCATTTTTGTTATCGGGTGAATTACATCGAAGAAAAATCTATGTGTTTAGCTCAGAAACACGAATTTTTCAAAAGAGTTGAGAGTATCTACCGGCAACGTGTGTATAATATTCAGGTAATAACGTGGAAAATAACCGGTCGTCTGAGAATAAAAATTGTTTTCAAACATTTTTCCATCTACCGTGATAGATTTTCTTGTACGCATGGCGATTATTTCGCTGCAGCGATACCGCAATGATTTTCCTGTTATTTAGAGGCAAAAGGTATAAACGATGAGTGAAAAAATTCCGAGATAAAACACAATATTCGAGTCGTTTTTTTCACACAGTACGTAACAAACGATCAAACCACTGAGTTATATCACAAACAAAGGAGCTCGTACTATATAATATATGAAATTGGGTCGATGAAATTAAATGGTTTTCTTATATGTCATAGTTTATGACCTGCTAAATAAAAAACATATAAGTTTTACTAGCTTTAGAACAAAAAAATGAACAGTTTTCGTGTTTCGCCTACAGTCGCTGATGACATCTCACCATAAAATGTTCAATAATTTTGAAACGGCTGAGTTAAAATGGATAAAATTATAGTGCTTTGAAAAGGTCTCAATAAAAACGGTAAGAAAATAAAAGAAAAAGTGCGGGGTCTCGCTTAAAAAATCCGAGTTGACTTTGTCTTGCCTTGGCAACGCCACCCAAAATCAAATTGATAAAGCCAGTGTGGTGTGGCTAGGCTTTTTTAAACTCTCTCTACAACTTTGAAAGTATCATTTTATACATTAGAACATATCTTGGATATTATACAGGGTGTTTCAGAAATAAGGTCAGAGCCGCATTTGGGGCGTCGAATGGGTCAAGGGGAACAAAAAAGTCTGATACCATTTTGAGATATTCGCTGTAGTTTCAAATTAAAAAAGGAAACGTCTAAGCCAATGTGCGGTGAAGCCGCGCCTATATTGATTTTTTGTTGATTTGTGTGTCTTCCTTAGGAGTTATACATTGTAGAGTGCAAAATTATATCATTAACATTATGTTACTATTAGTTTGTGTCGATTGGGTGGTTTCAGTGCCTGTGTTCTGAATGGGTCCATGAACATTGTAGTGGAGCTGATGATTCTGAAAATTACATATGCGATTTTTGTTTAAATTAATTTGTTTAAAGTTTATATTAATTTTGTATTAACATTGATATAATAATATATTGTTTCATTTCCTTATCAACATTCCATGAAATATTTTCCATGAAATATTTATTTTATTTTTCCAAGAAATTTTATATTTATTTCTTATACCATTTTGGCTTTACGCACAATTATCCAATCCATGCGCACAATTACCCGACGCGCAAAAATTTTTTCGCTTTTACTTTTTTTACTTTTTGCCAGATACATTATCAGATTATCGAATAAAAAATTGTTCAATACAAGAATGCATATTGTTAAAAGAACGTTTATACTTTGTATTTCAGTGTTTATATTCACGTGTATCCTCTTAGAATCCAGCCCCTCAATTACATTTTTTGAAAAAAATGCATGTTTTTAGCGCAATGGCATGAATTTTTTAAAAGTGTTGAGGATCAATCGATAATGTATATAAAATGTTCAAGTAATAATGTGAACAGATATTTATTATTATTATACAGACATTTATGTTTATATAGATAAAATATAAGAAATTGAATTTTATTATAATTTTTTTTTATTGCATAAGATAAATTAACATAAAGTTATCAGCGGATCCCTTACCGAAATTGGAGTCATTAAAAAAAAGAATTGTAATTTATAGTCTTAAATACTCCAACAAATATTCCGTTATTCTAAAAAGGATTTACTTGCTTCTATTAGTTGTTACATTTTATTTATTATGTACTCATATTTACTCTGTATATTTACCTGTAAATCTGATCAACAGATTTCTGTTTTCATAAAGAATAATTTTCGATATGATCGTAAAAAGAAAGTCAGTCAGTAAGTGTGTCCAAAATTTCCGTGAATTTTCTACGTTACTTCTACACTAACATCTTGATAGAAACATTTTCAGAGTTGTCTCATGAACATACAATAGGACATCGCCGTTTGAAGTACCTTAAAAGATAAATGTTCTTTATATCTTCGTCATTATGATTTTTGAATATCGATTTATATTACGGTATATTTTTCCTCACCATTCCGAAATTCTGCAAGGACATCACGTAAAACCTACATGCAGTTAAAATAAGCGGGTGGAAGCGTCGTTTCATTATTAACAATAATGATTTCTGCTCTGAAGCACTTGCACTATACCATGCAGAATTGTACCTGTAGGAAATCAAATATCTTATTTCATTTTAGAATCAAATGTTATTTAAATGATTACTGTAATAATGTAGTAAATAATAATAGAGATGAAATTAGAGAGAGGTCAAATTTATATAAAAGTTAAGTATTATGTCATATTTGTCTAAAAGTTAAGTATTAACGAAAGGACCATTATCATCGTTTTTAATGATTTTTTAAATAATAAACGTTATTTAAAAAGAATATTAAAATATAACTATAATAATATTATAATATTATTTATTTTTGTCTTTGCAAACATATTTGACGATACTTTTATAATTACTTAGCGCATATTTTTAAATAAATATAGGTAAAGCATTGCATAAAGAGAAATATGGAGAATGAGAGCATTTTCTCTTTTATTTATTTTAATTTTCTCTTCCTATTCTAAATTTACATCGGTAATTCCAGTGATTCATACATATTATTATATATTATTAGTTACTACTATACATATAAATAAAAAATGTAAATGAAATAGCGCTCATTTCAGCGAGCGTTCGACTCTAACACGCAGTGATGCTCCGCGCGCAACCTGGGATCGCGCCCGAACATCCGGGCCCTAGTTATAACATATTTGCAATGTATCTATAATTTTTTTATTATTGACCTATTTATAATCATAGATTTTTTCATGCTGAATTCGAATACATAATAGCTCATATTTCTTCATCACATTAGGTTTATGAGCTTATAATTTAAAAATACTCAAAATAAGCCTGTTTGGCACATTAAGATTATAATTAGGATATCTCGCAAACTTAATGTAACGGAGCAGTTTGAGTTCCAGATTTGGTTTTAGCATGTCAAAAACGTTCGGCGTTACATACTGCTGTTTCAGGGTCAAAATTCATTTCGGCCTGTTATTTAAAAAATAATACATTACTCACACCTTCTCGCATGCGTTCAAGCTCGAATCCGTAACTTTTTGTCCCATGTAATTAGATATAAATAGATGTATCAGTATTAGAATAGTAACACTAATAGATCTGGCGACTCGCTCCATATCGCCAGCAGTGGTAAGCATCTAAAAAATTTCATTTTTATATTTTGATACGCCCAACGTGTTTCTGCTATTGACATACCTGCGTTAATGCAAGACTCATCGCAAGCACTAATCCTATGATATCCATTAGAAACGGTATTGTGTGATAAAATTCGATCATACCAACGAATCTTGTAATATAAAAGAAGATTATATACGTTAATAAAAACTTTGAGATAAAAGAGATGTTTCTTACATATAAAAAACATTTATCTGTTATTAACGTATATTTTTACGTAGGGGAGACCGGGGCTAATAGACTCATTTTTCAGTTTCGAATTTTTACAGACGAAATTAAGAAATTTATCGAAAAAATAAATTCTACACCAGTTACTACATACATTTGACTACCTAATAATATTTTCATAATAAGGGGAAATTGTTAACTAATATGAAAAAAATGCATTTTTTAAATGCATTTTATCTGATTCAACTAGCCCCGGGACCGGAGTAATTTGTTGACTAAGATTATCAAAATAAAGATTAATGTATTTTAAGCTACATCTTTAGTTATATATTAATAAAACTTTTATAAAAATATATTTTAAATACAAACATTCGTTTCGCAAGGCAGAACAATGCTTCTTTTTGCAAAATTTGTTCCTTTCGTACAAAAACACGTCGAATGAGCCTAGTTTTCGAGATTGGACATGAGGGAACTAAACTTATAACATTTACCACTGAGGAAAATCTCTTTAAAGGAATAAAATTTTGAGTAAGTACTGTAAGAGTCGTCACTAAATGAGTCATACAGTTCCATGCTGTGGTTAGTCTATAATATTATGCCCATCCGTTTATTTTTAAAAACATTAACAATATACGATAACAAAGGCACATAAACAAAAAAATCTGTTAGACTTTATTAAGTAAGAAAATACTTCCGAAAATCACTTTCATTTTGAGGGACTAAAATCGTAATCGTCCCACTTTTTCCGCAAAATACTCGATAAGTTGGACTAAACTGATTTAACATATAAATTAATAGATGCATCTGTAGAATGCATGCCTTTTATAAAAGTACAAACTGTATAATGTTGCAATGCAGCCGTACAAAAACGACCATATTTCTGTAATTTATTTTTCGCCGTATTGAATCGTATCCCACTGCATCTTCAACAATGTAAAACAAGCGTTCCGCGCGATACCTGCCGAAATTATGTCACTAATATTATTTTTATCATACATTTGACTTTGAATAATATTCATCTTGTAACAAGCGGAAGAAAAGACGAGATAATCGATTATTAACGAAAAAAACAGAGAAATAATGATAAAAATTTTTAGAAATGTGAGAAGTAAAATATTTGTATTTTTATTTCCTCATTAATGAAAAAGAAAAGTTATATCTACATTTTAAAAAATTTACTGAATTTTGTTAAATATGAGTTTGAATAGTACTAATAACATATATGTTAACATATATTTAATTTAAGTATAATTTTTTTATTTTAAATGAATGTTCATTTACTGTAAGTAAATATTTCGTTAGTACTATTTAAACAAATATTTTTAATAAAATTCAATAAATGTTTCTTTCATTGTATCATGTGCAAATCTGCAAATTGTCCAGCTTTAAAAGTTAATGGATGAACTGCGTGTTTTCTAGCGATGAATCTACTCTTTCGCAAATAATGCGAGGAGCAATTTCTTACCCCAACAACTCGCACATTCCGCAAGCATGTTGCGTAAGAGCCACATACAAAGTGGAAACGGCAAAAAAAATTAGTGATAATATCAAAATCACGAAGCATGTATGGGATCGAATGAGGTTAAAGTATCGTCCTTGATCGAAGAAAAAGAATTCAGCTTTAAAAGGTAGTATTCGTGGGCGGGATTCATTTATGGGTGATATAATATCGAGGATATCCGGTAGGAATAGCCATACGTTGTACCCCATTACGGCTACGTACTGCATAACTGAAAAATTTGATAATAATAAATTTCTTTTAATATATAATATATAAACGACCAGTAACGAACACATTCAGATCTTAGATTAAAATATATTTAAAATAAGGACTATATAATAAAAACGTTTCGATTCTACAGAGTTTTTATCATTTTATAACGCAATTTACGTCTTACATATATACTAACGCATACTCTATAGTCATTCCATAACCATTGACTTAGATTTAGAATTCCATCATCGTACCATGTTTTTTAGTGAAATGTAATCAAATATATAAAATTGTTTTCCTTTAAAACAAATCCTCGTTTGTCAACGAAGATCGACGTTTTTGTGCAAATTAATGGTAATAATCATATATATAAAAGATAGTCATGATGAAAAATAATTAACTTCAGAAATTAAAATTGAAGATACCTGGAGATGGCATTGGAGCTGACATTCTCAATCATCCTTAGGACAGAGTAATAAATAGAATATAAAATGCTATCTCCAGATATCTTCAATTTTAATTTCTGAAGTTAATTATTTTTCATCATGACTACCTTTTATGTATGTATATCACTATTACCGTCAATTTGGACAAAAACGTCGATTTTCGCTGACAAACGAGGATTTGTTTTAAAGGAAAAAAATGTTATACATCTGGCTACATTTCACTAAAAAGCATGGTGCGATAATGGAAATCTAAATCTAAGTCAATGGTTATAGACTACTATCTGGAGGATGATATGAAATGGCTAGAGTATGCGTTAGTACGTAAGACATAAATTGCGTTATAAACTGATGAAAGTTCTGTAGAGTCGAAACGTTTTTATTATACAGTCCTTATTTTAAATATATTTTAATCTAAGATCTAAATATGCTCGTTATTGGTCGTTTATTATACATATATTGTTTTGCTGTGCAAACTTTTGAGCGACATATTTTATTTATTATTATTAAATTTCTTTTAATATATTCTTTATTAGTAATAATAATTTATATTTAAAACTTATAAATTTTCTGAATATAATAACAAGTTCATTATAATCGTTCGCTTCTCTAAAATTATGTCTTCTGAAATTATATCTTCAAGGTAACAACTTATTCAATGTCTAAAACAAAATTCTGTACTTTTCAGTACTATTTCTATTATTTAATTCTGTTACAAGCTCTCAAAAAATTCTGTTTAATAACAATATATGATAAATGTTTATACCTTTACACAGCCCGCCTTAATGACTTCCAACCGATTTTGATGTTGAGGTTAGAGATGTAAATGACGGAAAAATATTAGAATTTTAGGGTAAAAAAAACTCGGAAATTAATAGTTTTTTTCCTTCGGCTTTGACAATTTTTTACTCGATTTTTTCAGATATTTTTTTTAGGCTATTTAGATCTGTCGCATTGCTTGAAATCCCCCAAAATTTTTACATTTAAAGTAATATGATTAGAAAAATAGATTCGGGCATTGAAAAAAAAAAAGCAGAGATGCTGAATGCAAAGAGTGCAACCAGACCTATTATCAACTTATCAAGAATTGCAACAGCCAATAATACATATTTCCGCTTCAATATAAAATTATAAAGATAAAAGTATTAAAAAATATCGAAATAACAAGAAAAATTAATTCTATTTCTTCTTCTACATATTTAATATGAATTCTATGTTTTTTCATGAATTTTATGTGATTTGGTCAAAAATACCATTTTTTCAGTAAAAAAAACTAGTTTTTTACTTGATACTTTTCTCTGAAGTCAAAAGTACCGTTTTTTTTACATCTCTAGTTGAGCTTAATCCTTTGTATTAAAAAAATTGCGTACAATTTATAAAAATTGTTTTGTTAATAACTTTTTAATAAACAATGAGCGCAGCAAAATATCTATGATTTTAATCTCTTTGAAGGTCAAGGTCGAGGTCGGTCGAAAGTCATTTGTGGCGGGCTGTGTAAAGGTAAAATTTTATCCAACATATTACTTATGTGATATGAGGAAAAAGCTAGGATAAAATAGTTTAGGATAAAAGGAAATGTGAGCAATGAGATTCAATCATTCTTAAAAAATTTCACATCTATTTAATTTAATGACAGCGATTATAACAAATGCATTTTAAAAATAAAATTATGTTTATTATATATGCATAATTAAAAGAGAAATGTCACGCGTGTTACTCATCGAAAGTAATGTGTACACGATGGATAATACGTCCGGTGTTGATGAAAAGGGAACATAATTGATTTTAAACATAGAAATATAGTGTCGATCTTATGGATCTTATAGATAGAAAGATACATCTTTTTCTTTGGATAAAGCGAAGTTTAATATTTTTCTTACGCAAATAATAAAACGTCAATAATTTCGACGTCTCGGCATGCTTCTGCATAATCTTGGTCTCATAATTTGTCTTTTGTAATCTCCAATCGTTCCACATATGCTCAAATAAATCCCTAAGCTAAAAATAAATTAAATAATAGCCTATAAATAGTTAAAATAAATTATAACTTGTAAAATAATAATATAGCAAGACATTTAAAAAGATAATGATTAAACAATTATATTTATTTATTAGACATTAGACAAATTATAATAATGAAAATAAAAGAAATTATTAATTAGCATGTTTGTTTAATAATCAAGACTTAAAAGAAATTATAAATAATGTATCATTTTCATTTTATCACAAATATTTTGTTATGTACATAAAATTTTTATTATATAACTATTTATAGCTATGATAAAAATAAAGACATTAATTAGAATTAGGCTAACTGCAATTCTGACATTCTATATATAGGTACACACATGAAAAACTTGTAAAAGCGACTTTTTGTGTAAATTTTTTATAAATTAAATGTTTATAATAAACATTTAACACATTCTGTCCGAATTTGCATAAAATTTATTAAGCTTATAAGTAACGACTGATTAAGCTTACTTTGTCTACATGTCCAACTCGTGCATACATTTGGCTCAGGCTACCCATTACAGGCATAAATGCTGGTATCATATCGATTATGAAATTCGCGGTGATGTTAGACATAAATAAGCTCAATAGCTGAAACATGTTATTAACCCTTGATAAGAACAAAAGATAATTCACAGAAAAAATTACATCTTTAATTAGCATCTTAAAGTTGAATTATAAATCATCTAAGAGAGGTTTTAAAATTTCAAACAATTGTGTATAGTTTTTATATAGAAAGATACATATAAAAAAATATCTGCATATAACAATCTTGAGAAACAAAATTTCAAGATGTATTTAAAATAGCTTATATATATATATATATATATATATATATATATGCGTGTGTGTACTAATATATGTATATATTCAATAAATTATGATATATTTCTTCAATCAGATTTTAACAAATATCTTAAATTATTTAATTGAAAAGAAAATTATTTTCTATGCTACGGTTATACCTGAAAAATTACAGATGACAGTAATATAGTAGTGATAACAGCCCTTACTAAACGAGTGCTCCATTTGCTTTGGTATGGCCATAACCCAGTAAGCGACAGCACAAATCGATTTAATTTGTAATAACGCTCTACAGGATGTTCCATTTGCTTCGAAAGTTTTAAACAAACTGACCGTAGAAGCAAGAGCTCGTCGATTATTATTTTATTGCTATATTCATCTTTTCTTTTTTTAAAGGTCTATTCAATTCTGCATCTCTAATTTTTTAATTTTATTATTGGTGAATTATATCGAAGAAAAAATGCATGCGTTTAGTGCGGAAACACGAACTTTTCAGAAGCGTCAAGGGAATCGATCGACAGCGCGCGTATAATGTTCGGATAATAACGTGGGAAATAACTGGTGATCTACGAACAAACATTGTCTTTAGGCAGTTTTACATCTGCCGTATTAGTTTTTCTAGCACGCGCGATTATTTTGCTGCAGCGATATCGCAATTGTTTTTTGATTGTTTACAGGGAAAGAAAGCGAAAGATGAGTGAAAAAAGTCCGAGGTAAAACATTATATTTGAATCGTCCATTTCGCACAGTACATAACAAAAGACGATCAAACCATCAGTATTATATCGGAAACAATTTTTAATTTTATCGAAGACTTTCTTGAAAATACTTTATTTACAAGTATTCCCCATAAGAAGAGTTATTGTCTGGGCAATGTTATAGGTAGATATACAGAAATAGATAGATATTTACTATTATTAATAATATTATACGTGTATAGATATTTATATTTAGATAAGATATATGAAATAGAATTTTTTCTGTATAAAATAAATTAACTAAAATTTGTATCATCGAATATCTTACGAAAATAAGAGTCATTAGAGAAATTGTAACACCGTGTTAAATACTCTCACAAATATCCTGATATTCTTTTAAAAAGAATTTACATGTACCTATGAATTGCTACACTTTACTTATATTATTTACACAACACACAACACAATAACAACTCTGCATATTTATTATACTTACTTGATAAAAACATTTTCAAATTTGTCTGATGAACATGCAATAGGAAATTGTTGTTTGAAGTATCTTCGAAATATATATATTTATTATTCATCGTTATTATGATTCCGAATATAGTACTCTTTTCTTACCATTCCAAAATTCTGTAAAGACATCACGTAAAATTTACAGGCAGTCAAGATGAGTGGCTTAAAGCGTCGCATCATTATTATTAACAATGTCTTTTGCTGTGAAACAACTGCATTGTACCACATAGAGTTGAATCTGCGGAACCAATTTTTTCTTTTTTTTTTTGGAAACAGAGTTATTAAGTTAATAAAAAAAGACATCTAATCTCTCTTCCTCTTTCCACATAATATACTTTATCCAAGTGATATCCTGGGAACATCTTCTGGACGTTTTCAGGGTGTCTCTTGGATATACAGGGTGTCCTTAAATTTCGGCATCACCTATCCTGAGCAGGTAGAGCGGACTAAACTGAGTCGAAAAGTCCTTTTTCGATGGTTAACGAGATATTAATTACTAAAAATCGCTAAATATTGGTTTTCAATAATTTTTTACT